AAATGGGAGGTGGACAGAATCTTTTCTGGACAGACTTTGTTTCTTATGTCACTGGAATGCTATTGCTTGTTATTTCTCTTTTTCTAACAAATTTCATTCTTTTCAGCTATGATTTAGTGTGTGTTGGGGTTATAATGCTTAGGTCGTTTATTAATATTTAGTGTACATTTGGTATGCTTTGAGGCCTATTTTTAGTCATAACTTGAGGTCCCTAAAACTGCATTGTGAAGACATACTTGATCTGAAACATTTGCCCTGATCTGATTTACTAAAGTCATACCATAAAGTCAGAAATAAACTGTTCTTATAAGTGAGTTGCAGATGATAACACTTTCTGTCCACTATGCAGCCCCCATCAACAGGACTGATAGGCTTGTTTCAGGCAAGGAATGTTCACTGAGATTGCTTTGTTTGTTTTTTTTAGCCTTAGCTCCTGAACAAATGGTATGTTTGGGAAAATTTAGAATTATATCCATGTATTCAGGGATAAAGGAGAAATCAGATTCATTTGAGTTCACACTAAAAAATTTTATCTTTCCTGCTCTGTTGTGTCTCAATTACCTCAGCTGACGGAGCTCAAAGAATGACATCTGTCATTCACTCAGTGCTTATAAAACATTTTGGTTCTTCATTCAAGAAATTATTCCATTTCAGTCACTTGTTAAGTCTATAAAACCTGATATTCAACTAGTACCCGAAGTATAGTAGTGAGGAGTGTTCTGCTGAAGAAGAAGTACATTTGTACATATTAATGAATCCAGCTTTGGTTCAGACTGGTAGGCTTTCCTCCTGGCAGCTGCCACTTATTTAACTCCAGAATGGTCTAGATTTGGCCCTCAGGACTAAGGTCTCAGGTTGCAGCCCTGGCTGAAGTCAGCCTTAGCCTACTGACCTTCTCTGAAAGGCTTATTAATGGATCACCTTGTCTTCTAATTTAAGCCCTGTGTGGAGATGGGACTGCTGCTCTTATCCAGAATACTCTAAATTGACTAAGGTAGCGTCTGATGAGTTGTTTCCGTTTTCATATATGCAGCTGAAAATGAGTTTTATAGATCTAGGTGAAAATGGATAAAAAATAACTCAGAAGTGACCATTTAGATTTTAGACTTATTTTAGTTTCATGAAATCTTCTAAGTTTTAAGATCTCTAACTGACAAGACTTCAATAAAATAAGTGTAGTGTGACATTGCAAAATAATCATGTTATGATATAACCCTGTTCTTGCATTTGGAAATGTTAGTATTTCCACTTTTTCATTAGTCAGTGTAAAGCTAACCCTTCATTTTCTGAGAGTTTTATGTTAAAGTCTTTTCTGAGGTGGTAGAGGTAGTGAATGGGAGTTATCACTTTGTTTCATACCTTGCAAAGCCCCTCCATTTTCTGAGATTTTTATATTAAAGTCTTTTCTGAGGTGGTAGAGATAGTGAATGGGAGTTACCACTTTTTCTCATACCTAGCAAAATAGTAAGTTGTCTCCTAATGTTGGTTCCAAATGTTTTAAAATTTTCCTACTTGTGAAATCTTGGAGGCTTAAGAAACCACACTGGAAACACTTAGCATAGTATAAGCTAATATAAGGTTGCGCGACCCTTGGAGAGCTAGAGACGAGAAGCAGGTCACTATGTGAACTGCGGTGGGAGCCAGCAACCTGGACATCCATTCCACTCAAACACCTGATGTTCCTCACAGACCTGAGCCAATCTAGTCAGAGAACTTTCATATTTTTTAAAATGAGCTGACCCAGAAGTTTCTGAAATGGGTAACGGTTATCCTTTTGTGTACAATCTCTATGCCAAGATGGAAAAAATTATCAAGCCCAGATCAAACTGTTCCCCCCATTTTGTTAATTTAAAATTTTGTCACTGTGTATAAAATTCCCACCACCATTTCACCTGTGAACCATCACCATAGTCCCGTGTACTCTTCTCTCCCATTTTGATCCCTATTCTTCCTCACCCTTGAATAATGTCTGACTTTTTTTTTTTCCTTCTGGCTTTTTTCACTGAGCTTGATTGATCTCTAACAGCTCCATCCATGTAGTTGCAAATGGCATGGGTTTCTTTTTGATTGCCAAATAGTATTCCACGGTGTATATGTACCACATCTTCTTGACCCAGTCGTCTATTTTTGGGCATTTGGGTCATTTCTATATCTTCCCTACTGTAAATAGTACTGCAGTAAACACAGGGGTGCAGTATCTTTTTGAACTGATGTTTCTGTGTCCTTTAGGTAGATTTCAAGGAGTGGAATCATATGGTAGCTCCATTTTTAGTAGTTTGAGGAACCTCCACAGCTTTCTGTAGTGGTTGGACCAGTTTGCATTCCCACCAACAGTGTGAATTCTTTATTCCACATCCTCACCAACATTTGTTGTTGCCTGTGTTTTTAATGTGTGCTATTCTCAAATGCATGTAAGAAGTGTATGAAACCTGTAAGCTCAGTGAAGCTCTGGTTCTCTATTTTTGTAGTTTACCCACTACTGTTCACAAAGGGCAAACCTGACAATATTCCAGATAGGACTATCCTAATCCATTTGGCAATGAGCAGCCAGAAATTCCTAAATGGTAGGAAACAAGACATTGGGAACCTAAGGCAAACTAGGCCTAAGGGTATTGGCTGCAGGCCTCACTAATTTTTATGTCCTTTCCATGCAAATATGGGGAGCTACTCTGAAATAATTCAGTTAGTTCACGTGTCCTCAAAAACCTCTGGTTTTTCCAGTGAGCATCACTACTGATATCTACTATACTGATTATAATGTTAACTTTAGAAGAAACCATACTTCAAACATTTGGTCTGCCAATTATCAAAGCCTTTTGTGGAGACATGGCTTACAGACCACTTAGTGTCTATGGCATTTCTGATAGTTAGATGTGTGTTCCTGGAATGGACAACTGATGTTAGAGATACAGCATGCTGCCGGCCTAAATGTACCCTGATGTATTTATAGAAACATCACCTAATAATTATTAGGAAAAGAAAAAAACTCTACACAATTTCCTCCATTTCTCAGGGCCAGTGGATTGTGTTTCAGGTGGAGATAAAGCACAGGCAGTGTGTGTGTGTGTGAAGACAGGGGAGAAGGAAGTCTATCATTCCGGAAAACTCCCCACCACACTGTTGAGAACTGCCACAATGCTGCCTTTCAGCAAGTATAACTACTATCTACTGAGATGACTTGGCAATGGCACAGAAATTCTGTGACTTTTATCAAATTGTTACAAAACTTAGTTTTATAGAAGATAGGATTTAACAAAATCATAATTTTTGTTATTTTGAAACATTTCATCAATTCTAAGGTGAATAAGAAAACAAAAAAAATGGAAAACCAAGTGGCCTATCCATTCTTGGTAGGCACACTTTTACTGAGATAAATTTCAAAAAGGCAAAACTCAAGCTCTTAAAAATATTCTCCATGTAATACATGAATTTGTAATTGCCAAGTGCTCTGCTCTGCCAGAGAAAGTGCTCCCCCTAGTGGCTTTATAGGAACTAGAACAAAGTTTAGTAAATCCCTAGGTCGAAGAGGAAATTCCTTACAGCAGTGACTAGCATCTGGCAAAATCTGACCTTATTAAACACCAAAGAGTTTAATAAGGAGAAAAGTCTTATGACCAGTGAGTGTAACAAATCTGTAGTGGTTGCTCCAGCCTTACTTAACCAGAGAATACAGGTTAGAATGACATATTATGAGTGTGCTGACAAAAAAAATCTGTATTCAAACGTCCACTGGAAAAAAGCCATGTGACTGCAGGGAAGATAAGAAATATCTTTATTTGCAAAACCCACTTCACTCAATCCTAGAGTTGAAAAAAAAAAAAATACAAGGTGACTCAGTCAGAGCCCCGGTCTCTGCCACATAAAAGCTCACATGTGGTGAACATGGACAATCTTGGTCATAAAATCCTCCTCATACATACTGAAGAGTTCATATTGGAAAAAGGCCTTACAGTGGAAGCAAAGTGTCTTTCCCAACAGCCTAACTGAGTTGGAGTCAAGCCCTAATGAGGGCAGGGTGGGGGGTGGCCATCTGTCTGAATTGCGTTCTGTATCTCTGGGTGGCCGTGAACGGGGCGCAGGTGAAGCTACTAGGTCTGTGTCCCTGCCAGTCTGTGTGGAAAAGTCATTCGTCTCCACCACCTAGCAGGTCGACCTCATGTGCTTAGTGGAGCTGAGCTCTGTGCTCACCCATCTGTTGGCGGGATCTTGGGTTTCCTGGGCCTTTATGGCATCTTCACTCCTTGATCCCTGACAGTTCAGGCCATGGCCCTCACCCTGGTTTGGCCCACGAGTCTTGAGTTGTACTGGTTCACAGCACAGCTTCTTAGGGACACACCTGGTCCCAAGTGGTGCCTGTGAAGCTTTCCAGCTTCCAGGTCACCAAAGCAGAAACTACATGTCACATGTGGCTCTGGTTTCTACACTAATAAAGACTATTTGGTCTACGTATCACTAAAAAAGAAATAAATTCAGAGGCAAATACTGGGAAAAAAATAGTGATTAATAAGATGCTAAAAATATACCCTTGGAGTGGAAATTCTGTTATCTAACAAATATTTATTAAATACTTGCTACTTATAGGAGGTACCTACTTCCCATAGTAGTAGGTATCTATATACCTTTGTATATATAATCTTTCCCTGAGGGGCTTTGCTGTAATACTCTTTGCCGTGAAGTTTATTTTAAAGTAGGGCTTTCAAATAAATCCTGATTCCGATGACTATCATTCAGTAGTCCTCAACCATCAGTGGGGGCACTTTTACTGGAGGAAGAGGGTGGCCCCTTCAATTAGGACCAGGGATACTAAGGAATCCTACAGTAGAATAGCTGCAGTTCCCATAAGGAACTGTCCCATTTGGAAAGATCAATAGTACCTCCTCGTGGAGAAACACTGAGCTCTTGTCACATGGCACAGATATTTTAAATACTTTTTCTACTGGGAAACATGTTAGATAATTTTAATATTATATTTTATTAAATATTTACATGGTACAAAATAATTCCATTGAACATTACCTAAGAAAGTGCAGAATGGTTTTCTATTCCTTTGTTTGAGAAACTTAGAAATAAAAAGTATCTTTTATTTATTGCACTGAACATTATTGAGAAGAAATCTGTAATTCTGTAGACTCATGTATCCTCTTCTCAAATTTCTTCAAAATGTACACTCTGAGAACAAGTTGTCTAGTTATTGTTCAGACTTGTAGAAATGCCAAAAGTTCAGAACATTTGAGAAGAAATCACATGTAAGAGCAATCCAGTCCATCTAAATGCTATCGTTGAAAAAAGGTATTCTTGAAAATAGTGGCTCTCAAATTTTAACAAGCATGTGAATTTCCTGGGGGGAAGCTTTATAAACCAGCTTGTGGGACCACTCCTAGCCTCTGACAAGTGTCCAGGGCAGGCTGCTGCCACCCTCAGCACACTTGGGCATCCTGAGTAAGGAATGCCCTCCAGAAGTCAAGTAATCAGCAGTGCCCACATGCCTGTGCTTTCTCTAACAGTAAGCACATAAAAGAACATTGCAGATTGACTTATCAGTATTACAGTTTTCGACTCTTGAAATGTCATACTTAAACAGAACACATAATTTACTCCTCTTAAGGATTCTCATGAATTCAAAGGTAGGTCCATGGGATGGTCCAAGTACTAGACAATCTAGGATTCCATGAAAACAGTGTTTTACAAAATAGGCAGCAACTCTGGGCACAGGGCCTTGCTCCTTTCTTCTCTACACCGCTTCCCTTCAGAACAGCCAGAAACAAAGCAGGAAGAGTACCGCACCCAGGATGAGAGCAGGGCTTGCCACAAGTGCATACAGAAATGTCACAGTGAACTATCAAAGTTACGACTCAGATTCAGAAACTTCTTCGTCAGGGCAGCAGTAATATTCCACAAAACATACTTGTCCATCTTCATTTCTAATCATATACTGTAATGACAGGAATCCGCGATTATCTGTCCGAATAGACACCTTACAAGACAAGACTAATGCCTTTGTGGAGGGCTTCAGCAAAGAAATCTTGTATCTGGAGAATGAGTAAATAAAAAGCTGTTATTTGAACACACTTACAGCAGTGTTCATAACTCCAAGTAACAGACAAAATTTACCAAGTAGCAAATATAAGAAAATCAAATTCTTGTTCAATTTACTAATTATTTTTCTTCATTTACAAAATCCATCCACTATTACAACCCAAAACCCCTAAAGAATCCTACTGTTCACTTTTTAAAATACTATCAACAAACTGGAAAATCTGAAAAATGTTAATAGAAATTTGATATTTAACTTCACCAAAAGGAATTTCTATGATGAGAACTGACCTGCTGACCTGCGTCTGATTACAATGAAATGATTCCATCAAGTCAGAATCTTTGGGATAGTCAAGGTGGGCGCTTCCTGCATTCCCAAAAGTAGATAACCTATGGTAGAAAATGAATGATTCATTTATTCCCTGGCCCAACACTAGTGCAAGTTATGCTCTAACAAAAAACAAAACACTTCCTTTAAAGGAAGTTTGTTCTGGTGAGTGAAAACTGATATGTAAACAAATACAGACAATACACTAATGACCTTAATGAAGACTGCACAGGATGCTGTGAGAACAGAGCACCTAGCACCTAATGAATAGCTCTGAAAAAAATTAGTCACAAAAGGAGCTGTAATCCCACTGAATTAGCCGTAAGATCAGAAATAGGTAACAGAGGGGAGTTGAGGAATGGTGAAGAAACAGATCTGTCTCGGCTCAAGTCCACAGGCCCTATCTTTATTGCTGCAATTGGCAGCTAAAGGCTTTTCTGTATCTTAAACTTGTTCTGCAGGCCGTTTTATGGTATTCTCGACTTGGTAAGATCTGTGGTTTATGTGCAACTTACACATTTGTTTCATCTTTAAGAACTTTATCATGTCACAGGGTTAGATTGCTGGTAGTCCTTTAAGGGCAGCCGTATAGAAAACCTAGGTGCTCGGTCTCCCCTGGATCCACGTCTCCCCCCTTCTAAGCACCCTCTCTCTGAGCCACCCCTTCCATGCCCAACCAGAATGATGATTCCTAAATCTAGATTCCGGCTTATCACCTGCATGCTCTCTACATGTGTTATATACACCCTCAAATTCAATATACCTAGTAAAAATTTCAATTTGTGTAGTACTCCACCCTCAAATCATTTTCCATGCTGACGATGAAAGATACCATGACCCTGCTAGTTACCCACACAGAGAGATATTTAGATGTGGATCCTTTGAAATATTCTGTTAGGTGCCTGAAATTTCATTTTGTACTGCCATTTTTAGGGTTCCACTGATTTTCATTTTGGTTAAATTTTAACAATTTTCATGCCAGAATCTTAACTGCCATACAGTCCTGAAGTCCCTAAGTGGTTCTATGAAAAGCATATAAACCTCTCATTCCATATGTATATAGCCTTTAGTCTTTAATATTCTAAAATATTTCAAAAGAAGACATTATATATAAACACACTCTAAACTAATTCCAACCCTGAAAAAGGACTTGCCATTTCATAATTTGCTGGTCAGCACATCAGGAGCAACTTGATCCACCTTCTCTTAAGATGCTTTACCTAGACCAATCTTCCCTCTACACTCATGTGCTATTCTTTAAATATCTATGTATTTTGGTAGTTGATGGGATGCAATTTTGTTCGTCCTGTGATATTTCACAGACGTCTTTATCTTGACTTTATGGTGTTCTTTAACAAGTAAGCTATGTACAGTAGGTGATGAATACATACTAAGTGAATAAGCATGACAGAAATAACTGTCATGACAGAAATATGTCATCGTGCATCCTGTACTAACCTCAAAGGAAAAGAGCAATCACATTTATAAATACCTTTTCCAAAGTTTAAACCGAGCTCCTCATGATGTAACCTGATCTGTAACAGGAAACAGGTAAAGCAATGAACTGGCTACTAATTCATGGACTAAGAGACTGGGGCACTCATTTAGAAACCAACACTACCTAAGTGTGAAGCTTTAAATAGTGAACTAATTCTCCTGGGTCTTAAGTTTCCTGATCTGTGAAAGGTAAGGTAAAAATAAAAGCTTTCTGAGGTTTTAAAAACTGTAAGAACCTGGATAAAAAAAGTTCTGCAGCCTAAGGAATTTTAAGTTGGGAGACAGAGATTACATTAATTATAACTGCACTGCTTTCAAGTACCTGAAATACGGTTTGTCAGGAGACATGGTGATTTGTAGGACCTCACTTGTCATATCCAATTCAGAAAATGCTTCACGGAGTCCCTCTGACTGAAGAATAATTTTATTAATAACATTGGTGCTGCAGAAATCAAAATCCAGAGTCTCCTCAGGTTCCTGAGTGTTGATTTTACACACTGTTACCACACCTCCTTCTTCCAGAAACAGCATCAAAGGGTAACCATAACCTTGGTAGCACATCCGAAGTGCCGTTAAAGTCCCTACAATGGAAAGAAATCATACATTTGGCTTTATTTTATAGCTCTGAATTCATTGTCTCTACATAAAACTCAATAATAATTTATTTTGCCCAACTTCTAACATGTATGTACACATCTCCCTATAAGGATTCGTATCTCCCCTGATGACATATGTAGGCAATTCCAAAAATACCCACAAGTAAGTTGAGGCCAGAATAAGAAGTAGTGCAACTCTCTGAAGTCGTTTTCCAGCTTACCAAGAACACTCAAAATTAGATGGCTGATTTTATATAATTTTAGAATTATATAAAATCAGTGAGACGCTCACTGATTAATACTATAAATGAATTGGTGCAGAATAGGCCTTGCTATGTCTTGAAGACTCAATTTGTGCAAGACTGGGTTGCTTTCATATTGTCTCTATATAATTTCAGTATATTTTCTATGGAGATTTTTTTTTTCTATTGGAGATTTTTACATTTGTTCAAATCTTAAGATCAAATCAAGAGAAAAAGAGAAGGGTAATCAATGTGGTTAGGATTCAATACTGAGAGAAAAAACCTGACAGGACACTCTAGCTCCTTTCCCTTACTGGATGGAGAGCTGTATGAGGGAATGCAGATGCTGGCCCTCCCTGGTGGCACAGTGGGTTAAAGCACAGCACTAAGGAATGCATAGATGCTTCTTGAAAATTTAGCTGGGGAACATTAGAAAATATATAAATCATAATGGACTGGGCAGTACAGAATTAAAAATTTTCTAAGAAACCAAAACAGAATTTTCCTCTAGCTTCCAGGTTCCTTTCCTAATCCTAAAAGCTTTGTAAATTAAACAAAGATATAAATATTTTCACAAAAATGAAAAGAACCACAAACACATTTTCTATTAATACTGTGAAGTCTGAATTCATGATTGAGACCAATGAAAAATGGTTGATTTTTTTTAAAGAAACACCTCTATCAGTTACATTTTAGTAACTTTTCTGTATTATGACCATTCCATGTAATGCTATTATATTGTTATAATGATAGTAAAGTGTTTACCTGGAGTAGGACTTGATCCAAAAATAGATAAACAGTCTAAAAGGATAGTTAGATTAATTCGAAAAGTAACAGACTCTTCTTGTATTGTAAACTCTTGAAATATTCCAGCCTATGGGAAAAAAGTAAACATGAAAATGTATTTATGCATAGAGGAATAAAATTCACATGTAAGCCTCTAGATTTAGAACAATATTGTACCAACACCAGGAAAATCATCTCAGTTTACTAATCCAAAAATATTAAGCTTTTGTTCAATTATTATCCATTAGAATTATACTACTTAAAGATATGACAGTGATCTTGATACCATGTAAAACGTTATGAAGGGGCCTTCACCTAGCTTCCTGTAGCTGAACTGTCTCCACCCAATTCTCCCTTATCTCTTTTTTGTGCCCCATCAGCATGAATGCCATCTGGAAAATAGCAAAATAAGTTGATAATGCTCCAGGGGATTTTCAATTTCTTTTGAGAATAGGAACCATGTCTTTATCCCTCTGTGCCCGAAGCAATACTGTGTACTTGAGTGTTCAAATAAATGCTGACAAAAACTTGAAATCCTATCAAATCATACAAATACTACTCCGCAACAAAGAATTGTATTATAATAAAAGGAAAAATCCTTTTTAAAAGAAATAGTTACAAGGATCATATACTTTAGAAACATATTCCAGGTTTTTTCACCCCAACTCAATCACTTGCCAGGGGTGGGAACCAGGAAATTAAACTGTGCTCCAGAATGATAGCACACCTACCATATAGGACTAATGTGAGAATTAAATGAGTTCAATACATAAAGCATTCAGAAGTGTGCCTGGCCTACACTTTAGCTTAGTACAACTTAGGCAGTATTAACTTATCTCTCTGTAAAACAAGACAGGAAAGAATTTGTTACCAGGAGAGACAGAGAATTCAGGCAATGACATTAATTTATTAACATAGTATTAAGAATATCCCATGTCACAGGGTTCAAGGTACCTGTGTCCATACCTGAATAAAAGCATTGGCTTGCACGCACTTTGCATTTTCCACTGTAACCTTGATTCCATTTTTGGTGGCGAAACACGTGGCATGGTCTTGGAAGTGAATCGCCTTCAGGATAGTGGAGAGATTCCTGACATTGTCGAGGCTGGCCACTAAGCTATAGTCGTTCTCGTCTTGCACCTGCGTGGTCAGGAGGGGCATGGTCCTCCGCACACCCAGCCCGTTCAGATGCTCCAGGGGCCAATGCCTGCTCCCGCGGACAAAAAACACAGTTGACAACTCGACCACAAACAGTTCCATCGGCGTCGGCTAGGCCCGGGCTCTCAAGCCGCCTGGGGCGACGCGGACCAGGCCAGAGTGCCGAGCTGCGCCGGCCAGGGATAGACGGCCACCCGCGCGGCATAACTAACTGCGGGGACGTTACCTCTCCCGCCTGCGGCTTCCTAGTTTCACAGAGGACAGTAACAGGACAACCGACAACGAACACAGTGGTTGGGGTCAATTTCGTCACCCCCAAGTAGGGGCGACGACTCCCCACGGAGTAGGTTGCCCGGGTCCTCAAAGGATGCTGAGTCTGAGGCGAGCTCGTCCACCGGCCCGCCGCGCCGCCGTGGGATCCAGGGGCGCGGAGACCCTACCTTTGCGGAGGGGGACAGTCACCCGACAGCTCTCCCCAACCAGGTGGCCAAAGATGAGATCTGCAGCCTCCAGGAAGTTGGGGAGGACGCGAAGCGGCTCCCGCCTCTTTTCAGATCGCCCAGCCACTGGGGCTACCGTCACCACAGAGACAGAGAGATCTAGAGAACTTTGCGCGCTGTACCGCGGAGACCGGAAGGAGGCACCATAGAGTTGGAGGACAGGTGCGGAGGCACCACAGAGTTGGAGGACCATAGAGAGCGGAAGGGGAGGGAGCGGTCGGACCGGAAGGAAGCTCAAGAGCAGAGGCGGTGAGGCAAGATGGCGGCGACCAAGAGGAAACGGCGTGGGGACTTGGGAGTTAAGGCCAAGAAGCCGAAAAAAAACGAAAAAGATGCCACGCCGCCAGCCAAGCGATGCAACACGGCAGAAGAGGCGAAGGATGAAGAGAGAGATCGTATCCCAGGCCCTGTGTGCAAGGTAGACAAGCCAACTCCGGGGTTAGACTTGCAGCCACTGCTCCGCATGCCTTCCCATCACTCGGCCGGCTTCGCAGTTGTGCTGGTTTTACGGGATCTGGGCTTCAGGTCTCCCAACTGGCCCGACTGGCCACAGCGTTTGTATATCAGCTTTGCATGTGACCGCTTTGTTGCAAGCAGCCGGCAGGAAGGCGCATTTCAGAACTTTTACTCCCCCCCCAGCCCCCAAAACAGGGGGAAGCAACTTAGGAGTTACAGAGCAGTACCCCCTTATCCGCGGTTCGCTTTTTGCGTTTTCAGTTATCCTTAGCTACCTGCGGCTGCAAATACTGCAGTAAGATGCTGTGAGAGACCACACTAACGTTTCTCTTACGTTGTGCTGCTACAGTTTTGTTATATTAGTGTAATTAATTTTCTCGTAGTGCTTAATTTGTAAATTAAACTGGGTCACACGTATTCTATAGCGAAACCGTGTATATCGGGTTGGTGCTCTCGGTGATTTCAGACATCCACTCCATTGCTGGTGTTTGAACTCCTTCCCACCCCATATCCCCCCCACGCAGTCCACCGCGGATGAGGGGTGACTACTTAATTTATTAAGGTCCAGTGCTTGTTCTACTGCCAACAAAGTAGGGGCCAGGGATAATGCTTTTAAAAAAGTTTCTCTCTTTTGTGCATTTCTGTTTTTCTAGTGATTAATTTTTCCTGTCGTGGTGAAGGTGTCAGTCAGGGATCCTGAAACTTCTTACGTAGTCCTTTAAACAGTTGCAGTTGGGATTGTAACATATTTGATCAGGTCTTTAACTCTCAAGGGATGATGGAAGCTGGACCAGATAGTATGAACTTTACTGATATTCATCAGAATTTAATGTTTCAGGCACTACTAAGTTAGGTTAGCACAACTGCATAGAAGTTACGAAAGTAGACTAGTAACCTCTTCTGAAATGTTGGAGTTTAGAAGGGAAAGTTTATGTGAGTGCCTGCTCTTTATTCAAAATAAAGCAAGTTGTTGGCCCTAACTTGGCAAATTCATATTTAGAATTAGAAACCATTTAGAGCTCTTTAAGCTAGATTGAATTCTATGGAGATAAGGATTGCTTCGATTTAGTAAAGTCTTTGTACTTTGTCGAGTACTAAATTTAGCATAGTATTCTAACTCTTGGTAGGTGAAAATCCATAACCCCGTGTGGGGTGGCAGCCAAGGTCTAAGGAAGCTTCTTTCACTCCCTAGAGTGAAATACACTCCAGGGAGTGAAGTCAAAGAAGCATGCTTAAATCTTTACCAGGATGTTAACAGTGTAACATTTAGAGTTCTTTTATAAAACACAAGTTAAGGGAAAGAAAATAAGATTTACTTTTTGTAAGGAATAAATTGAATTTTTAGTAGATTTTCAGTAAATATTAATTACTAGGAACTAGAAAGAACTAGAACTTGAAAGGAACCAGAAAGAAATAGGATAGTATCTATGCTCTGAGTCCAAATTTAATGCCAGGATAACCTGGTAAGGGATCATGAATGTTTTGGTCTTTGAGCTGGAGCTCAAAGTAAGGGTGGAATTTCTTCAAAAATGAGAGGAAACAGTACAAAGGAATTCCAAAAGAAAGAGGTGAAAGTTGTTGAAGTGGGGAAAATACTGAAAATTTAAAAACAGAACTAGATTGGCCAAAGTGCAAGGTTGAGCTGAGGCAATAGTAAGATAAAAATACATTTTAGAATCCCTTGTTAAAGATACACCATTTTGAAATTTATTTAGACAATTCTGGGAGGTAAGGATGTGATTGTAACACTGCTTTTAAAAGATTCGGTTGGAACTGATACATCATCTATTAGAGGAGCGCCATTCTGGCAAGGTAAGCCATTTAGGAAATTTGCAGTTATGAGATTATAAGGATCTGCACTAAAGTTGTGTAAGTAGAAAAGACCGAAGAGTTAATTGACAGCATAGTGCTTACTATGGCAAGCAGAAGATGTAGAGTCAGGGTATGTGAGATGTCTTTGACATCATTAGAAAAATAAACAGCAAGGACATTTATCGGATTTAAAGTTTTGAATTCTAGTTGAATTTGAGGTGCTACGGCAAATGCTTGGATTTCAGACTGGAGAGAGTACCTTACCTAAGTTGTTTTTAAACCTTCAGCTGAAGTTAAAATGAGGGGTAAGAGAGTTAGAATCAGGAGGCAGAATTGGAAAGTTTAAAGAAAAAACAAAAAGGTAGAAATCCAAAGAGCATTTAAAGGGTGGATTGATTGAATTAAAAGGCTCAAGATTGTTACATGGAAGTTTTATAATAAAACAAGATAGTTCTGCATGAATTAAAAAAAAATTAAAGCACTTTCTCTTTCTTTAGGGCAAATGGAAAAATAAGGAACGGATTCTCATCTTTTCCTCCAGAGGAATAAATTTCAGAACAAGACATTTAATGCAGGACTTGAGAATGTTGATGCCTCACTCAAAAGCAGGTAGGTGCCTTTGTATCATATACTGTTAAACACTGAACAGTAATTGTCTTGACATCGTAGAAATGGATCAAATTAACATGAATGTCATAATGTCATAAATTCACACAATGTTATTTCAAATATATTTGATTAAAGAATTTATATTTACAAATTCGCTTGTTTATATATTTCTTATAGTCACACTTTCTTGATTCAACTATGTCACTTTAAGAACCACAGTGCCTCAAAAGTTTATCTTTTGAGATCTTAGAAATCCTGTTCAAAATTCATTAAACCTTCACCTCCTTAAACAATTATCCTGATATCATTGAAATAGTTCTTGACTGTCCAGGCAGGAATGCCTTAATTGTAATGCTCTTTGAGATGATGAGTTGGCTTATCCTGCTGATGGTTCGGGATTGCCATGTATTGCTTTTTGAGTTAAAAAAAGAAAAGAAAAACTTTAAAAGATAATGGACCTTGGCTAGGATGTAAAGCACCTAATTCAGCTTGGGCTCAGCTTACTTGCAGTACCCAAGCTAGTCTTTTTAGCAGGGGGTTATCTAACTGGCAAGTGAAAGTATATATTTAAGTTTAAAATTGGTGGTCATGCTGCTGTTTTTGTATTTGGGAAGTTTTGGTTTTAATTCTTTACCTGTTTTTCAAATTGGTATCTACTATTAATCTTCAACTTTCTGAAATTAATAAAAAATTTATGTGGAGATTTTTTCCCTCTATGCTACTCTAAAACCAATTTTTATAATTAGTTTTCTGTAGCACCCATGATTCAAAATTGAAGGAAATTTTCATCAAATTTTAGTGTATTGAATGTTTCCTAAATCTGGAGTGCTAGAAATTGATTTGTGAGGATTTTTCTGTTTTTGAAATGAATTCATAGACTATGTAAAGACTGAGTAACGTACTTAAATTTTTGTTTTTTTTAATAGATACTAAAATGGATCGCAAAGATAAGTTATTCGTGATTAATGAGGTAATTTTAGAAACTTATTAAAGTAATATATTCAGGGAATATTGTACTTAGAAAATATTTTGGAATACTGAAGGTTGTTCTCCCCCCCCCCCAAATATTTATTTATGCATGTAAGAGCTAGAGTGTAAGCTAGAGATGTGGGGGAGAGGTGTGAGAGGATTCACCAGAGATGGGGTGGGGTACAGAACAGGTGAATTGACTGAAATACATAGCTGAGGGGAGCAGCGGGAGAGACAGGAAAGGTCTGTGCCATATGGGTCAGCTCCCTGGCCTGGGATTGAACTCTTGATGCAG